CTAACAAATTAAGCAATAAACAAATAGATAGATCCAATTCTTGTTGGGGTTGTATCAGATTGTGAGTTTTCTTTTTTGCTTTTTAATTTAATCTCCTTTTAATTTATTTTTCATCAGGGTTCAACATTTTACTGAATTGTTTCAGTTTTCCTCTGTATAATTCATTTCCATGTGTAGTTGACTACGGCTAAATCATGTAAGTTTGATTGAAACAATGAGCTAATGAAAAATGCATCACACATTCAATGTAAAATAGCTCAGGCTATGCATTTGATGAATGATTTATTGTTCTGATGGTCTAAGATGAGGTTATCAGAACAGACAGGTGTTTTCTGATTTTGGAAATGGATTTTAATGGCTCCCGTGATTACGTTCTGCAGTTGCAAAGAGCTGCTTTAAGCTGGAAGCGTTACACGACCTTGCATCTTATGAGTAAATAACTAAAAGGAAGGCTAAATAAAATAAGCAAATTCCCACTGAAGGTAGTTTTGCCTTTCTTAAGCAAATTAAGGTTTACATTTTCCCTCCAAACAGAAAGTAGTTTCAACACAGTACCTAAACTAGAAAATGTCTTAAAAAAAGCATAAACTATTGTTAAGATAACGATTAAAACAGGTTCTCATTCAGGGTTATTCGCAAAATATCCTCCTTTATTCTCTAAAATATTCTGCTGAACCTCTGGGTAACTTATCTATTTACTGCAGCTGAAAAATTCACTCAATGTGATTCTACAGACAAAATCAAAAGCAAATAAACACAAACTCAAACATCAGTTTTATTCTCCAAATATACAGAGCAAAAGCATCATAGATTCACAGACCAGTACAGTTAAAATACAACCGTTTTTCTTTTTTTTTTTTCCTTAGATACAGAGGGCCACTGCCTGAAAATAGTGGTTTACCCAAAAGCATTTACACAATGTCTTCTTATTACAATAACAGTATGTTTATGGTTACTATTTATACAAATTGAAATGACAATCTTAAGTACTTTTCCCAAACCTGTGTTCTGTAGCACTTGCAACTCATTTGCATTATTTGGGGTACAGAACAAGTCGACAAATCGTTCAGACCTCTACTGATTTGACTTTCAAAGGTTTCTCTGTGAGGCTTTCAGTTTTCTTATGTGACTTAAAGTACGCGGCAAACCAAACCCCACCGATGACCATGATGCCCTGAGGGCTGCGGCGAAATCTGCAGGATTATTTGCAAACGCTATCTAGTCCAGGCCTTACACTTGTATGTTATTAAAGTACGAACAAGGTATTGACGGGTACGAAAGAAAAAAAGTGAGAGAAAGCATTTACACTGTTAAGAAAGGCTTATGTTGATCAATGCAGCATTTTGCAAATGGCACCTGCTCTAATGCGGCCCATCGTGGACATTAACACCTATCGTACAAAGAGGGAGATCTCAAAAAGCGAAATGTGATTCATGTTTTACTAGCATAGGCAAGATATTGACATTGCTAATGTTCCACATTAACCCCCCCAACACAAATTTATTCAGACCAAGCAGAATGTGTAATGTGGTCAACAAACCATAATACAGCCATAGCAAGAGAGGCCATTATACATTTCCTCCAACCACTCTTCACTTTGCAATACTCACAACTTCTGTCTCTCACCTCAAAAATGCTTTCAGCCAGCAAACTACAGCCTTGTCCTTAACTTCTCCCCATAATAAACTACCCTGCATCCTCTGCATGCTCTGAGAGGGGTTGCTCTATTTATAAGGCGAGGCCAGTAACCTCTTGTAATTGTTGCGGGTGTCTGTGTTTAATCATCTGTTAGGTCCTGGCATATGTGCAGTAGCCAGGCAAACAGGAGGCTCCGACACCGGCCCGAAGGTGAGTGTGGGCACACGTCTACCCCCGCATATGGGCTTCGATTCTCAAAGCTCAACGTGGCATTTGCCTCTTGCAGCGCTCTCGTGCCCGCTGTAGCTGTTGTCATTAGGGGGTTGGATGGGACAGAAGGCAGGCCCATCAAATATTTATCAGTTTGCAGACTCCCTGGGCTGGGAAAACGTATTTTGTTTGGATCAGCGCGGAAGCTGCGGTTAGTAGAGCAAACTTTACCTTTCGGACGGCAAAGCTGTACCTATGTCAAGGGGAGACTTTCTGAAAGTTTGTCCTGCCGTTGCACAACAATGCGCAACACATGCAAATAGCCTGCATCAAAGCCGTACAAGCAAATAAGAACACGCTCTTAGACGCCTATTTTGAGGGGAAACAATGTAATCTTCCACATGATGATTTCTAAGAAGAAATAAACGCTTGGAAAATAAAAAAAGTGAGCGCCACAGACACACTTGACAGTCATCACGGTGCCAAATGTAATATACTGCTAGGCGTCTCTCCGAGGGGCTGAAAGTATAATGCAGCAGTTCACTTCAAAGCTGTTCCAGCCGAGCTCATCTCATAGCCTCATGTGTGCTCGGTGTACAGAGTGCCAGTTTTCCCTGTGAGATCTCAGGGGTGAAGGAAAAACGCTCGCACAAGCCTTCTGCCTAATTTGTGAGACACAAGCAAAATTTCTGCGAAGGAAACAAGGAGAATATGATTGTCTGGTTGTGTAGTTTTGATGCCATGTGTTTGTCGAGCTCTAATAAACTCTAGTGAGATCTGAATGGGAAAGAAAGAAAAGCCTCGAGAAATGAAAATAAAAAAGGATATATACAGAGTAAGACAGCATTAGAGATTTATTTACAGTCTTCTAAGTGCCAAGCTGGATTATCAGCATTGAAACAGAGCTTTTTGTCTTAAACTGTACAATAGGTGCCAATCCATTTGTAAAATTAGTCCAAACCACTGCCAGTCAAGTGGAAAACTCCATCTGAATGCCTTCAGTATATTCATATGTAAAGTGCTTACAACAACAACTTCCTTTTGTTCAGATACCATGCTTGGTATTGTATGCGTTGTGAGGCAATTTAATATTTAATATTTTCAGGCACACACGGGATCGTCCCAGTGCACTGAATCAGACTGCTGTGCTAAAAGAACCCCCAAAAATCAAAGAAAAAAAACCACTACCTGATTAGAGGAGACATGTAACCACTTATAGTTTGTGTTTGTTTGATTTGACAAAACACAGTTGACACTGACATAATGAGCCACTGTTTTCCAGTCCTGTCTGTTGTTCCGGGAACTCCTTTTTATCTTTGAAGAGACTGATCAAATCACAGCCAATCTGATTGGATAAAGCATGGCTGGAGCAAACCTTGAGAATCCACAGACATACGGCGCTCATGCGTGCTCGCATTATATGTGACTTATTGCAGAAAGTCAGGACTGACTTTTCACTTTTTAAAAATTACAATTCCCAATGCTCATTGAAAAAAAAAGATAACAACTAATTCTCTGTCTATCAACAGTGAACACACCATGTTTTTTTCTTTTTCTCAGGCTCACGAGAAATTTCAACCCAAAGCAGAAGTGTTTATGTGGCTGCAAAATTAAGTCAACTCTCAACTAAAACTAATGCTGTCAGTGATTAGATAATAAATCCAATTTCACATAGGTCACATACAGTGAATTAAACTGAACAATGTACTTAAACAGCAGTGGCTTGTCATAATCTGCTTTAAGATAACCTAGAAGCAAAAAAAAGAGAAAGAAAGTAGTCTTATGGCAAAAAATAAAATAAAACACAGTTTCTGAATTAGTGTGCCATGTCCCTGGATGACCTAGATGACCGGCACTATTACAGGCATACAGTAAGGATGCACAGGGTTTGCAGTGTCAACAGTGATGCTGCTAATAAAAACAGGATCAGCGCACAAGAAGGAGCTAAAATATAACTTTAACATTTCATTCAGCCGGTTCCCTCAACTGTGGACGATGTGTGGTGTCAGCAGGTGAAGCTCTCAAGTGCAGCACAAGTTCTGCTCCTTAGGGCTTTCTTGTCCTGTCGGCTTCAGAGCGTGGATTCGGCGTGGCGCGGTCCACACGTGAGCTGGCCACCTCAGCCAGTCTCGCCAAGTCAAAGTTTGTATTGAGCAAGTTCAAACAGACCCTCAAGGCAAAGTAGACAGGAAAGAGCCCCCCCCCCCCCCCCCTCGTCCCCTGTTTAGAGTCAACCGTGTGGGGGAAATCAGAGGCAGAAATGAGATGCTAACAAAGAAATCACAGTCGCATATGTACACTGATATTCTTTTATCTCAGGGTGTCAAAAGTAAAAATGATGACACTGGGATTTGAAACGTGATCTCAGCCCCCTTTGTTATCTGCTCGGCTCTGTGGCTCAGATACAGCCGCTGGGGGGGTGGGGTGTCGTTTTGGGGGGAGGAAAGATTGCCGCTCTTTTAAGTGTTTGAGAAGTCTGCGAGCACATGGAGAAAGTTTTCTTCCACCTACATACGAGGGGGGGGGGGCGGTGGGTTTTAAAAAGCCAAGCATAACACACAGTGTTTGAGGGGAACGGGGAGAGAAGTAAGCGCAACAGAGGAAAATTATTCTGAAAAAAATAGTAAAATTAGAAAAGACACATGCACATTCAGTGTTGTGCTTCCATCTAGGAGAGAGTGGCAGGGCACTGGCTCACGCTCACATACAGCCAGTTTGTGCTGTGTGCTGAGCGGCAATCCCGTTTCCTCCCAACGACAATAGTCAAAACGCAAATTTGGTCCAATCGGATTGTCACACAAAGCCTTGTGTTCCTGCCCTCTGTTGTTTTGACACTCTGGCTGTGAAGTCAAACTTGTGTGGCCTCTGTGTTGGCAAATAGCTTTTCGTGTGGCACAAATGTATGACAGGTCGAAAAAAAGGAGGGTGGGAGTGGGGTTTGATTTAGAGAGCATGAAGGAAGTATAAGGCTTTTTGATCCATTGAATTTTTTTGGGACATTGAGAAGTGTGAGCAAGTCAGGCGCAGAAGCCCCAGCGTCTTCGGGCATCCATAGGAAACACGCCGGGGGCTCCTGTTGGCAGATTCCTTTATAAGTTTTACAATCCTGGCTGCTTGTGACACGCCTTTTAAAAACCCGCCCTCCCTGGAGGTCAGACATGGGTTTGCATGCGTTTCTGGAGGGGCCGGGTGAGGTCCGAGTTTTGTGAGGAGGACTGGGAGTAGTGGGAGGAGGAGGAGGCCGATGCCTTGCTGTCTTTGTCGAACTGCACGTAGCCGTCCGGCTTGCTGTAGCTGCTGATGCTGCTGTCGCACTGCGTGTCGATGAAGGAGCTGGAGTCGCTGAGCGAGCCGCGCTGGAACTCCCGCTCGCACAGCTCGATGGAGCTGCTGCCCATGCCCAGCACAAAGCGTTGGCCGTAGTCGTACAGACGGTTGGGGCCCGCCCCCAGGGTGGAGTAGATGTTGGTGAAGGACATGCCTGTTGGTACCCGTTGCTTTCCCAGGGTACCGGTGGCGGTAGGGTTCCTCTGCTCAGCAGTCTGACTCCCGGACATTGTAGGTGTGTGGTGCTCCTTGAAGGTGTTGACACTGTAATAGCCATTTGTAGGGTCCTATTGGAAAGCAAGAAACAGGAAAGAAAAGTTAATAGTATTTTGAATAAAATGATCTCGGTAATTGGTATTAAAAAAGGAAGATAAAGTGAGAAGAAAGCGTGTCCTCTTCTCAGAGGTAAGATGGGCCAGGAACTAAGGCCAAACTGGCAGTAATTACCATTTATAAAGCTGAGCAGTTTGCTCAGTACATCACAAAGAAAACCCTGGTGACGCTGGGTGTGAGAGTTTAGTCAGCCTCTGCTCTAAACTTAATATCATTACTCCCAGTAATGAAGCAAGCGATGATGTTCCTTGCTTTGGCATCTGTGTGTCACTGCAAAGTCCAACTGCATAGCAGCTTTAATTAGACTTTAATGGATTGTGGCTCCTTTGAGTCCATATCTGAACTGTGTTCCACTTATTTGTCTGCAAGGCTGCAGCCACGGTTGCTAAGGGTCCAGTTTGGGCAGGTGTGTGTGTTTGTTTCCCTCCTTTTTTTCTATCATTGTGTGAATAGATGTGAATGTCAACCACAGTGAGTGTTGTATCAAATCCCAAAAGAAGAATGCTCATAATGGGAGAGACAACCTGACAGGATCCTCATTATGCTTGTCATTATCAGGCAGTGGACAGGGAGATTGTTTGCGTCTGGCCTTTATGTCTTGTTTAGGCTCCTGTCTGGTTGCGCTTCATGCAAAATATCATTAACGAGGAAAAAACAAAAATCTGGCCCTTGAGGCAGCAGGTAAGCAGGCTAACACAACAGAAGCACCCTCCGGGGACCCGGTGGCAACACCCGAGTGGACAAAAGGACAATTGAGCGGAAGAGAAGTAGTCTCAGTGACAAAGGCTCAAGCAGAGTGAAGGTACAACACTCAGAGCACTTTGTTCCTGTAGGTTCAGAGTTTAGAGTTTGTTTTAGTCTCACTGAGAAGAGCGCAGGTCAGAGGTAGTATAAACACCAGCTGAGATTATCTGCTTTGCTTGGTTTAATGATTCACTTACAGACACAGCAGAGAGTTCCCCTTCAGGGGTTGTTAACAGTTTCATCACATATTTCAATAACTTCTACTGCAGCTGATGCTCTCAGAAATACTGAGCTCTCATTGCATACAAACAAGAGGTCGTCTACTTCTTCAATGATCAACATCTTCTCAATTGAAAAAATAACATCACAGCAGTGATTTACTGTTTAGATTAATTAAAATTGCAACAAATGTAATATGAAAATTGAGAAAATGTTTATTGACAATGACAGCAGAAATTATTATTTAACAATATCCAGCGGTATCCTTAGCTCGAAGCAACAGGGTTCCAAATCCCTGGAATAGGGACCAAGAACATCCAAGAACATGCATGTCAGATTAATTGGAGACTAGGTGTGAGCGTGAGTGTGTGTGTGGTTGTAATGGACTGGCGACCTGTCTGGGGTCACTCGCCTCTCGCCCAACCTCAGCTGGGATGTGGGAGAGCCCCTAACCTATCCCACGCCCTTACCAGGAATGGATGGGTGGATGGAGTAGGACTAACATCAGTGAGAGACAACATAACTGCCCTATAACAATATCTAACTCAAGACGTATATTATCAACATCAGGTAAAAAAGTACTGAAAATAGGATTGTGCGTGTTTGTATGTGTCCATTATCAAATGGAAAATATGCCGCAAAACGGATCTAGAAAAGAATATACAAGGGGACGAACACAAACTACACAACAAATGTCACTGATCAAACACAAGTTGTAATACTTTGGGTCACAATCATATATCAAGCCTCTAAATATAGCATCTGTCTGTTTTAAGTATTTGTTTTATATATATCTGCCTCCAACAGGGTTGAAGTGATGATGTAGATCTCACCTCACCTTTCTCACGTGCAGAAGTGTCATTGCCTTTTAAGTGGTGATGGTATTCGAATGAGCTGGTTCAAAAGATTAAATAGCTGCTGAAACAATAGCCCACTAAGTCACACCAGACATGGTGAGAGGGAGGTAATATTATGGCTATGTTTCCCAAAAATTGTAAATGATTACTGCATATGACCAGATTTATGTCCAGAGTGACATAGTTTCAGAATTCCCAAAATGTCTTTTGCTCAAAATTGTCAAAAATAAATTCCCCAAAAACGAGATATATGCCTCTTTTTCATGGGTGGTGGTGAATGAAGGACCCACAAATGCAAACACAAGCCCACAGGCAGCAGAACGAAGACTGAACTTGATTCATTTCAATTAACAGCGACGAAAAGCACAGCTGATCTGGAAACACCAACAAACTGAAGAGAATGAGTAAAACCAAAGAACAGGAAACAAAAACAGAAATAAAGAGGACACTGTCGAAAAGGCATGAAGCGGTTTAGGTGCTGTTTACAGCAATTATCTGGCACAAACCGAAGGACTTAAAATACTGTGGAGGAGCGATTAGCGAATGAGCTCAACTGAGGAGAACGCACACTAGTGAAAGCAGTGAGGAGGATCTGCACGGGAAGGAAGTGAGGAAAGAGTCGCGTTATGGCCAGAATCAAAACACAGGACTGAGAACAGGGAACCAAAGCAGTATGGAACCAACAGAATACATAAACCCACAGAATCACAACTGAATCCCAAAATAGATATAGATAACTCAGAGAAAACACAGATCTTCATGCCTTTAAAGAATGCTTCTAAGGTCTTTATTTCAAAATTGATGTGGCTGTGAGAGGAAAGCCAGCCTATCTAATAAATACCGAAAAACTTATTCCAAGACTCTTATGTCCTTTGAGGCAGCCTATTCCCATCCACCCATCTATGGTATAAATAAAATAAAAAAACTGAAATAACAGCTGGAGACCAGCCAGTCTCTGATATCTTGCGCCACCTTAAATGGAGAAGCTAATTATCAAAGTGAGCCTTATAACAGCTCATTTTGCCCCACAGCAAATGGAACGGGAGAGGGGTTATTGCAGTTTTTTTGCTATTTTAGTCCAAGAGTTGAGCACCACCATTCGCCCTAAAGGCACTTTTTCTCCCACTATCTTTTTCGCTTTGTTCTCCCAGATTCCTGTATTAATGCCACCATGCTGACATTGATCATTGGGGCCATACCTTTATGTGCTGATACTCCTTCTCCTCCTCTTGCAATACCTCCAGCTGCTTCAGAACAGACTCCTGCTGGAACTCTCCTCGCTCAACCTACACAGACATCAGGGAAAGTATATTAAGAGCCTGAGTAGTTTCTGAGGCTCTTTCACTCCAGGTATAAAAAAAAAAAACAGAGAGAGAAAGAAACTCAGACAGGAATGGGTTTAACTTTTATCACTTGTTCTTCTTTCTTAATATCAGTCAAACATGCCGCACCTTCACTCAGGGCTGGCAGAGGGCATTAATAATTTATCCGTGAATATCTTTTATTTATCTTTACAAAATGCAGATTTGCAAGGTAGCTCAGCTCAACTCCCTGATCCAACATCAAGTGCAGACTGTGCTTTGTGCTTTGAAAGAAAGTGCAATCCCAAAGCTTTAACCACAAATAGCCCAGACCCAGCGTAAACTGCAAATGAACCAACACCCTTGTAGGGCCTGTACTGTATATACACAGTGGTTCTCTCACATATGGATTTCATGCATAAAAGAGTGGCAGGACTATTTTGTATATAGCACACCCGCTTCAAACATCAGCCGTAGCATGCGTTTACTATCTTACCCGTGAAGTGAAAAAAAAAGAACATCAAAAACTGAGAGGAAAACGGGAAGACGTGGAAAGTAATATGCTGTGACACTCACACTCACCATCAGCTGTTTCATGGAGGAGTGTTCTTCGTTTTCCCGTGCGGCATTGTGGTCCTTGTGTACGATCTCCACCCGGATGTCGTTTTTGGCTGACACAACTCCTTTCAGATCTGCCAGAAACGAGAGACATGTGCGGCGTTTCTTAACAAGCTGGAGGACACACGGCTCTGTATTTGTATATATTGTATTTTCCCCAGAATGCCGGCCGTGGTAATGTAAGACTTAGCGGCGGTGCATGGGTTTGCTTTACTAGAGCTCTCCCATTTACTGAAAACCACACAAAAGCATTATTAATCACTTATTTCCAGCCAACGTGAGATTATCTCTCTTTACATGAATGCAATCTCACACAGTTTTCCCAATGGTGGCTCATTCTGATCACGACAATGCTGATGTTAATCTGTCAGATAACAAAGTCTTACTTTCTGTCTTAATTTTGCTTGCAAGTTCTCTCTGGTGTGCACAGATGGAGACGGGCAGTGAGGGCATAACCAGGTGCGCTTCCTCTGTAGTATACAGACAATAGACATGCTGAAGGGATCAGAAGCACAGTGTGGTTCTTGGATGGAGACAGTGGGATGACTGTCTCTGACTTGAGTCACTAGGTTTATGGGTGGGTGGCAGTGAACACAGCGCAGGATGAAAATAGCCTCAAAAGCGAATGCAGCCAGACTGAGATTCTATGAAATGAGTCCTGATCACAATCTGGCTATCTGTGCGCCACAAAAAAAAAGATGTCCATCTTGGGCAATTATTCACCATTCCCTAAAAGCGAGACTCATCGTCAGATTTGAGCTGGGGTGAAACATCCTGCCCATGTGGCAGCGACTTGATATTTTCGTGGCCCCGTGATTAGAATATTGCGACACAGATCTAAATAATACGCAAATGGGAATAGATGGACACTTTTTGTGCGCTCTCTAGGGATGCAGTACTTTGGCGTGCATGCTGGAGTGGATGTGAGGGCAGAAAGAAAACGTACTTCTCTGAGAGCGGGTGCAACAGAACGCGCCGATGGTGCCCATTAGGACAATGAAGGCCACGAAGGCTCCCACTGCAATGCCGATGATCACAGCCACTGGGAGAGATTCTGAGGAGAGCAACACAAAGGCATGTCCTTCTACCATAGAAAAAACGCAAACACCTAACATGGACACTGAATTCATGACAGGTGAGAAGAAGCACACGCTCAGACAGAGACCAATCCACACACAAACACACACACACACACACACACAGGAGTTCTTTCGTGTCCTTGCTGTCTTTTAAGTCTCTGTGGCACACAAGAATTCAGGGTGGATGGATTTTATGTTATCTCTCTAAGTGGCACTGACATCATCTCAACATTTTTCCAATAGTCTCTCTGTATCTCACAGTCTAACAACTTTTCATACACTTTAATGCAGGTTAATGGCACTATTTCACAGACTGTTTTTATCTCCATGGAGCAGACTGCATGGGGTTTTGCAATCATTTAAACATAATCATGTTTGTGTGCCTTCGCACTGATGTTTTCATCTAGGAAGTGACTTAACTAGCAGTTACACATTTAAAATGCTGCTCCAGCAGCAAAGGAACACATTAATGAGAACCTGAGCACTCAACCCACATTTATGACCTTCCTGCATCTTAAAGAAATGCAAACAAACAAGTGCCCTTCCTACACCATTAGAGTGTACTTAATGTCCTCATTGATCAACGTCAGTTTCATGCAAGCAACTTATAATTCATCATTTGAGATAACTGGTTAGAGAAAGCCCCTTCTCAAGGGGAAGGAGGGGAAAGGTCACCCATAAAAGCCAAAGTTTTCCCTTTAAGTGAGCCAAACATGAGATACAGATTATTTTATATTTAAGGTGCAGAGTGTGCTAAATGTCAATAGTTGTAATTCATTAAAAAAAAAATTAAGTTAAACTAGAAGCTATTATGTCAGAAACTTATCACAGCTATTATTAAATGTAACGCACATCGAATCTGGAATAGACAGAAACACACTCAAACTCGCTGTTTAGGACTGGTACAGCCACAGCTTCACACAGAAGACGCTACAGCTTGGTCACTTCCGGCTATTTGCTAATAGAGGCATGGGATTTGAAGAAGAGGAAGGTGGAACCTGTCGAACCTTGGCTCCCACCTTGTTCCTTAAGGCGAATGATCTCAGTGTCAGAGCCAAAGCTGTTCCATGCCGTGCAGTTGTAGATGGTCTGGAAGTCAGCCGGGACGATGTTACTCATGGTCAGCGTGGAAATGACTCCCTCTTCTGTGTTCACCGTCTCAACAGTGTAGCGACCGGAGGTTCCAGACTCAAGCACTGTTTCCTTCCATGACCAGGCCTGTAAAAAAAGAGAGGGTTGTTAGCAATTAATGGCATTTTAGTGGTAAAACAAAATCTACACGTAAACTCATTAAAACTATGTTTCACCAAAGGGTATACTCATATAAGAAGGGAAAAAAGAGCATCACCTAATCGATGCCTTATATAAATTTATAGTATGTCAGCTAATTTATTATCATCCATGTTCTGTATGATGGGTTTACTTGGCATGGCCTCGATGTTGCCATGGTAAGGCAGCAACACCAGGAGCGCCGTGGGTCACTGGGCTAATTAAGTCTCTATATCAAACTGTCAAATACACTAAAACGAGCATATATGACATGGTGTCCTGCTTGGTGCTGCAACTGAAACCTACATGGTGAAGACCTGTCATCGTTTCAAGGATGATTCACTGCCTGTTGTGCCACTGAGTAGGGAATGTGCTGAGGCAATATATGAACTTTACTTAAGTAAAGTGAGTAAGAACACATCTTTTTGATGTTAAGGCCACTTAACCAAGCCAACTTTGAATTTGATGAGAGCTGGCATTTTTCATAGATGTTGAGTGAGGATGATCTATGTTGCTGTGTCTGGTAAAACACTTGCACAACATTGTGCTTTTTGGAAAAAAGAAATGTTGCAGTCAAAAGCGTGCTAAAGGCACATCATTTACTGCCTTTCCTTTCTATTTCCATGTGCAAGCTCAGTGATATTTCTCCAGGATCTGAAAACAGAGAGAATATCTAGTAGATTACTGCGAATTGTGTAAACTATAAGATGTTGCCTGTAGTGATGGAGGTACATGTATTTTAGATATAGTGACTGAACACAACCTTCTATGAATCAAGCTTGCCGTGGAAAAGTAGGTGAAGGAAAGATGCTCTGCGTTACAGAAAGAGGCATAAGGGTTTATTTTTCATGGCTATTTGTTAGAAAAGTTCAGTGATAAATTGGCAATTTGTTCATTTGAAAGGTAGAAAATAACTGATAGATGGGGAGCGCAAATGGGTTTGGTGTTTTGCATCATCGCTTTCTAACGACAAGTTCTCCCTTCGAATCTCAGTCTTTGTTTCCGCAGTTTGTACGTTTTCTTCATGCCTCTGTTGGTTTTTCTCCTGGTGCTCCAGGTTTTGCTTAAGGCCCGAAACAAACAAATTAAGTTAACTGGTGATTATAAACAGACTGTACAGCTAATTTCAGCTGATACATTTTTATATCAAGAACATAAATGATTACCATTTTTGCCAACGGGGCTCCAAAGGTTCAGGCAAAAAACTACAAAAAAAGGTGAATGTAAAAATATCTTATACTTAGATACAGCTAGAATGAGGAAGCCTATATGACTTTTCAAACTCTTTAGCCCCAACATTCCAGGCTGATAATATTCTTGCTTTTTATCCTTATGCTTACTGTGCATGGGCATAATTTATGTTGTGTACCCAAACATACTTGTTTGGGTACTGTGGATGAGACTACATAATCCCACTAGGGGGCACAATAGCAAACTCAGACAATCATGAACTTCAGGATTTGGAAAAATAAGTAGCCTCCAAGTAACAAGGAACTTGGACAATAAAGACATTTTTAGTTAAGTTAGGTTAAGTTAAGTGTTTATTATAGGAGAACAAAAATCGAATCTGTGCCATTGCAGATTTTATTTGTGGCTACTGTCACAGTCAGGAAATTTCATCTTGCATATGGCTACCCCTAACAAAGGCATAAAACAGGTGGTGGACAAATAAATCGGACATAATAAAGGGGAAGCTTTAATGTGGTTGAGTATAAGCTAAAGATTTTACTTCAATAGGGCCTTATGTGGGGACAGGCATGGCCCAGACATGGATTTCGGTTTTGTGACTGCTGCACAAATGTACTCACAATGCGGTCTGGTGGAGGTGTGCTTCGAATGAAGCACTTGATTTGCCCCTTTTCTCCATGGAGAGCTTGCTGAGTCTGTGTACTGGAAATAGTAGGTGGCCCTGAAAAAGTAACAGAAATTGGAACATGAATAATTAAAGTCACTTTCCACTTTCAGGTCATATGACGATTCTGCTCAACTAAGTCCTTGTTGTTACGTTATACTCCAAAAACCTCCTGTTTCAAGCAGCGACGGGTGAAGTGTTGGGTTATTTAGGACTCCTGGGGAACACTATCGTGGTGAGACACAAGCACGCCCCATTCGTGAGCGCAATCTCGGCAAAGACACGCCAGGACGGAACAAAGGGCTTAAGTGGCGACCTAGACCTCACTCTGGCTCAAGAAATTGTTGATTTATGGCTCACTTGATTTCACCCGCTGAGATAAACGTTGTTCTCTGGAGCGTAATCAAGACGGCACAGATGGAAGGAAAAAATGCCATTGTGGGGAGATAACCCACTTGTCGCAGTGTGTAACCACAATCAATTTGCGTGCAACAGAGTTGACCCCTGAACCAATAGGTCAGCCCATCAACGTTGCAATGTTAACCTTTGTAGAAATGTAAAAATCCTTCTAAAAATTCTAAACAAAAACAACTGTAATTGCTATTTAAAAAGCGTCAATAAAGAAGACATGCTTTGTGCAATTTTTCTTTTCTCCTTGATGGTAGTAAATAGTTTATCAGTGTATCAAACCACTTAAATCTGACTAGCTCCATCAAATGGATTTCATGCCCATGTCTGTTAAGCCCTGTTCAGGCAACAAAATCATCCCTGACACGAGCAGGTCAGCCTTAAACGACTGGTCTGCTCGCCATCTGGTCTGGATGTTGCTCACACCAGGTGACAGTACTGATACGTGGACAGGATGTCACACACAACCCAATTCCATCACTCATGTCTGCTTACCCTTTGGTCCTGAAGGGCTCACTGAAGTAAAAATTGCGAGAGAACAAAAAAATCGCTGTGGGACAGTGAACTATTTTTGTTTGACCTGTCTTATGCAAATCATTGTTATGTTTTCCCTTTAATTATTTTTGGATCTTGATTGGCTCTTCCCACTATCAGTCTGACATTTGAAATTGAGATATCTTCAAAAAGCAGCAACCTTATCTGGCTGACATTATCAGGCAGGGCTGCAAAGATCAAAATCAGCAGCTCTGACTTTGTTCATATTACAGACACAGCACCCTCACAGCAGCAAATATTTCATATTATTTTTATCTTGTTTCTGTTTGTATAATTTTTTTGGGGGGTGGAATCTCATTTTGAGTCCTCCGATAAAATTGTGGACATAATTAAGTTTAAAATAATGTAATCGTGTCAGAGAGTACTTTGCTTCCTTACATTCAAAGACAAGGGTTCTTATTTGTGGGCTAAAAAAGCAGTTCAGAGCAAATGTTATGAGACATGGTTATGGTTAGGAATTTGTTTTTTATTGGGGAGTGGGGTTGAATGAGGCTGCTTCTTGATTAGCGAGACGACTCACATCCCCGCCAACTTCCTAAAACTCCCGCGCTCTGCCTTCTCTCTGACGATACATAATTGCAGTTTATTACCTGTCTCTTATTAAAATGAATTAGCATTTTAATGAGACGTTGCCAGATGGTGTCTTGGTATGCAACTGGAGGTGCTGCTACTGCTCCACGCTGAACGCAGTGGACAATTTAAGATGAGTATACTGGAAGCTGTTTCCCTTCTTTTTCCAGTTTACTCCCATGCAACGGCTGTATTAACTCACCAAACGCCTTCTGGGGTCCATATAAAGGGCCTTGGCGTTAAGACAAATGCATGTATATTGTTAGCATTAGCTCTAACTGTCAACACAGAGCAGGATCAATAGCTTGCAGGCTGCGAAAGGCTGACTGTAGAGGCTGGGGAGAATCTATGCTATGGATCAGAACTGCAAATTAGGAGTATAATTAGATAGCTTTATCTCCCTGGCTCAACGTGTTTGTATGCTAGTGTGTGAAAGCACACCGTTTGCCTCATGCAGCATGTGATCAGAGCACAAACGTGTAAGGGTGGTGGGTGGCATTACAACATCAATGCTCGGCAGCAGGGGAGGTAATCAAAATGTTGGGTGCAACATTTCCCTCATTCATTTGAGGAGGTGTTAACTCAGGAGTGGACATTGCAGTCTGATTACACAATAGTGGTGTGGGTGTCAAAATACCAAAGCTTACATTTCCTTCCTAAACTGAGGCTTTTTGCTCTGAACAACAACTTGACATTTCCACTCTACCTCAATGAAGCTGTGTGGATTTGTGTGCTATTTTTTCCTCTTTTTTTTTTTGGGTGAGAAAAGTGAGCGCAAACGGCAACAAGGCAACTGAAACAAAAAGAAAATGTCAGACTCAGTCACCAATGGCTACATTTTCCTCTGGGAGGAACACAATCTGTGCATGTGTTGAAGCAGTCAATCTGTTAGTTCCTGTCTATCTGTTTAAAATTCAATTAATCTGAACATAATTAATTTCTGTTTCTGTTTAAATTCTGAGGAGAAAAGAACTAGGTTCTCTTCAATTGTTTTTCAAATATGAAACCGAAAACTTTGGGAAATCACTAATGATGTATTATTTGACTAAACTCCATCACATAATCAGTGAGTGTAGCAGTTTAAGGCAAGCTTCCTCACCTGATCGACTTGCTAACCATCATTCTGACAGAAACACAAACCGTACTGTTCCGAACTCTCAGCCTGTCAGCCTTGCAACATGGACCTGCTTTGAGGGGAAGCACTTTTACATTGGGAGCGAGAATTACATTTCCGTAACACTAGTTTCTTTTCTTGCATGCAACCAGATCTATATTTGCTTCCACTTTACAAAAAGTTAAAAAGAATTACTCGGTATCACTGCCACCGGCCACAAAACACTCCAAGCAAAGCACTTAAAGTCAAACTGGAGAAAGAAAATATATGTATCTACTCCATAAAGGCACTGTGGAGAAAAAGCAATCATTATTGTAACAAATATGGCTCAGCTTTAAAAGCTGATAATAATTCAGCAGTGGAGAGCCTTTTGTTTGCATTATGCACTGAAGCACCCATTTTATCTAAAATAAAGACATCAGTCTTTAAGTGATTAGTCTACGCTTGTGTTTAAATGAAAATCTTTTTTTTAAATATTGGGGTCTTAAAGCAGTTAAAAAATATGCCATTAATTAGGAAATGACTAACAAATGCATTATGAGAGATTTAATATACTTAACAGTCGATATTGCATAATGGAAAAAAGGTTTTGTTTCAAAATACTGGTTTTCACTGGACATCTCACTTCTAAACCTGTCACAACCGAAATCAATAGAATATTCCATTCTATTCATATTTACTGCATAAAAACGAGTACTTTTAATACAGTGGGACCAACAATACTAACTATCACAAGATGCCAACGGTGTCTTGGTCCTTAAAGAATTTTTTTTTTTTTTTCTATCTAAACAGCTTTTGGCTAACAGTCACTGGCCTAAACCTCTTATACATACATTAACCTTTGGGTTTGTAACCACTCGCAACTTCTGGTTTCATATCACACTTGAATGCATAACCAACACATTACCATCATTTTTAAATAAATATATAGGATGCCATAATAATAGCAACAACCCTCTGATCCCAATGCAAACAAGAGCTCATTTCATTTGCAGTGTAAAATAACGTACTGTGCCTGATAACTGCAGGAAAAGATATCTCTTTTTTCCAGATAGTCTCTCATATTTTCAAAAGCTAAAGTTTTATGCGAACAAAGTAGGACAGCCAGTCAACACAATAGCATTTAATCATAATGCCTGGACTGAGCATGCCGAAAAATTCAGATGGAGTGCTTGCATCCATACGACCTTACGGGTCATTTGTTCACGCTGCTGCTTAAACCTGCACCCCCATAGCTGACCTGACAGGTGCCCATAACAGAGGCAACCACCAGGATTCTTGTCCTGTCACAATGATCGTTCTTGTCTGTTTAGTTTCCGTCAAAGGGATGGTTTCTATGTGAGGCATAGGAAGCCTACATTGAGATTCACCATTTTTTCTCTCTTTTTACTTATTAATGACAAAAACAGAAAATTCATGGCCGGTCCTAATGTCTTCCCCAAGCCCAACGTCTGGTTCAGTTGTTTCCATTTCATTACCAGCGTCTTTTGCTAATGGATGTTTCATTTGCACACACTCACACACACACACACACACACATTTATGTATATGCTGTACATATATATATATATATATATATATACTTCAGTAAATTACGGTACGTATTGTATCTCAATCACCACCTCTACCTCCACACCGACCGTCTCCTCCGTCTCCTGCATCACCGAGGTGTAGGCATAGCGATGCAGGAGACAGAGGCAAAATAAATGTTCCCCAGTCTCAAAGGTAAAGGGCCAATAAAACCCCCTTTTTATTAATTATTTCTTTATAATTAATTTATTTTTACATATATCTTATATAATGCATTTGTTTTATTGCTATGTATAATTATCAGCAGTATTTACTAATGAGTTATTGTAGGTTATATAGATAGATAGATAGATAGATAGATAGATAGATAGATAGATAGATA